ATATTATCTTAAAATTAATTAATAAAATAAATGAAATTAGATAAGAAAACCAGAATATGTTCAAAGAAAGTACAATAAATAAAAAAATAAAGAGGAAAGATTACTTTCTATATATGTTGAGATTAATCAAATTTGTAAAGCACACTTGTACATTTCCATTTTAGCATTTCTAATTTTATAAATTTACTTACCCATTTCCCTCAAGAAAATACACTACCCACTGACTCAGAGATGAAATTATTTCTAGCTACGTGTGGTGGCACATGCCTGTTATCCCAGCAGCTTGGAAGACTGAGGCAGGTGGATTGCAAGTTCAAAACCAGCCTCAGCAAAAGCAAGGCCCTAACCAACTCAGTGAGACCCTGTCTCTAAATAAAATACAAAATAGGGCTGGGGATGTGACTCAGAGGTCGAGTGCTCCTGAGTTCAAGTGCTCCTGAGTTCAATTCCTGGTACCAAAAAAAGAAGAAAAGAAATTATTTCTAAAAATTCTCCATCTATTCAGTCAACAGTACTTATATGGTTGTTGACTGTGGGAAGGGCACTATTCTAGGTGGTGGGATGCAGTGAGGAAAGTTAATATTCTAATAAGAATGATTTGTCCATGTATATAAATGATACAAAATAAAAATTAATAAATTTCTCATATTTCTGTGGCAGTTCAGAGGAGGGACAGATTAATTCTGAATTATGATAGAGTAATGAATTAGGGAGGAGGGTGGCTTGAAAAATAAGGATTTGAAAATGCATAGTTATAGAGAAAGGGCAGGAGAACAAATTCAAGGCAAGCAACATAATGCAAAACATATCTAACAAAAATAGTAAATGATTTTGAATAGAACACAGACCAAAGAAGAGAAGGCCAAAAGGCAGTCTGGAGCCCAACTGTTAAAGGCTCTAAAAGCTAAACTAAAAGGTGAGATATTATTTCATAGGTGGTAGATGCGTAGGTGTGAACACTGTCACTGAAGTTTTACTGTTTTTTTAGTGGGAGTAGTGATGAGAATTAAGCTCAAGAGAAACTCATCTGGGGACTATTTATATGGACAACAGCAAGGTGTTAAGAAGGTTTGAGTTAGTATAATGATAATCAGAAGAGAATGGACTGGAGAGATCAAAGACAAAGAACTATAATTTGACAACCAGATGAGGAGCCAATAATACAGTCAAAGGTGAATCTGCATTTCTCAGTGACAAGATGGCTGGGATGTCACTGATAGAAACATCCCTGTGCATGAATGTATGAGTTGGCATAGAAAATGAGTTTATTACTCTTAGATATTATTATAACAGTCTATAGAGCCATATTAAAAATATGGTCCTAAGATCACTGGAAAGCAATTACTTTTCTTTTTACGGGGAAACTTTTCTCACTAAATTGCTGAGGCTGACCTCAAATTTGTAATTCTGGGCAGCTGGGATTACAGGTGTGCGCTGCCGCACCTGGCTGCAATTACATTTTATAAAATGTGACTTAAAATAAACCTGCCTTTCAACTTTCCTGAACCCTCAACCCCTGAATTCCTTCCTTCTCTCAGTGTTCTTTTTGTCCTCCTCATGTTCCCCAATCCCAGCCCCTCACTTCCTCCCAGGGTGCCACACAGTTCTTTGGATGCACTAATGATCACACAGAGGATGCCCATTCACTCACCTCCTGAGGCTGTGCCACATGGAAACCTGGCTTCAAACTCTATCCATCAAAACCCATGGGCATGCTTTCAACCACTCCCTAAGTACTCCTCTTAAAATACAAAATTAGGAAAGAATTAGACTTTTAAATTTGGTGTGGGTTACCAGTCAAGTTGCCCATTGTCTTTCATAGACCTTTTTAAAAGTACACTAGGAATGCATCTATCCAAGGTACAAAGGCAGGGTGACAAACTTCCCAATTTAATGAATTTCCAAATCCCAGTGCTTCTAATTCTTTCAATTTATTCAGTGCAGACAGCTTGATGTATCAAGTACTCTGATCACAATGCAATTAAATTAGATATAACTATAAAGGATAATCAGAATCCCCCATAGGACCTCGCGGAAGGTGATCACATCATGGAAGCAAACCCTCTGAGGGGATTAAGGCTAGCCTCATAGAGTGAGTTCTCATGAGAGTGGGTTGTTATAAAGTCAGGCCACATGCTTGGTCCCCTTCTGCATGTTCTGGGTTCCCTTTCTGCTCCTCCACCATGTTGTGATGTAAATGAAGGAACCCAGAGGCCAAACCAATGGGGCCACAGGATCCTGGACTTTCAACCTCAAAAACTGTGAGCTAAATAAACTTAAAAAAAAAAAAAAACCCATTGGCTAATAAAAAAAATCATAACAAAAAAAATTTTTTTTAAAGAGAGAGCGAGAGGGGGGGGACAGAGAGAGAGAGAATTTTAATATTTATTTATTTTTTCTTAGTTCTCGGCTGACACAACATCTTCGTTTGTATGTGGTGCTGAGGATCGAACCCGGGCCGCACGCATGCTAGGCGAGCGCACTACCGCTTGAGCCACATCCCCAGCCCCCATAACAAAAATTTTAAACTTAAAACTCAACAACTATAGTCTCTTTAAAGATGACACTAAACTATTTTGAATTTTTTTAAGCAGTACACACTATCTATTAGAAAAGAAGGCCAAAGACCAATGAACATCCCTTTCCCTAACCCCCAAAATAGGGTTTAGAATCACAGAACACAATTCACTCATCATAAAGTTATAATTATCAAAATTATTCGGTGTTGGTGAAAAGACAGAAAAAAATCAACAGAACAGAATAATCCATAAATAGACCCACACATATTTGGTTAATTGAGTTTTGACAAAAGTACAAAGGCAATTCAATAAAGAAGAACAGTCTTTTCACCCATGTTGTCACCACCAAGATCAAGACAAAAAAAACTATAGTACATTTTAATTATTAAATATATATCTTCTGATAAGCATTATAATTTCATTGTATAAATGCCATGTGCCATGTCCCCTTAGAAAGGATGCAGCATAAATGTATTAAAAGATTAAACACATCTTGAAAGTTGAATCTAAAGGTCATTCCTTTCTTCTTTCTAGCTGTATTACTTCCCTGCTCTGGTGATGACTGCCTAGGTGGCCTAGTTTTTATCCTTCCTAAACATCTTTGATGACAAGACACCCAAAGACTAGAAGTTCCTCCTCTGCTGGGCTAGATAAAGTAGGTTGGAACTTCACTTCATTATAATAGAATACCTGAACATTCCTCGCCAGCATTACCTTACCCTTCTCCCTCATGTCTTGTGCCCTGTATCTACAACCTTCTGACCGCTGAGAAAAGTTGATTTGCAAGTGTATCTTGCACTTCTCATATTTTTGGTCAAGAATAAAAGTCTTCTTTGCTACTCAATTGGTGCCTGGTCTTATTATTAGTTCCACTATTCTGAGAAGGAAAAAGGATTCAGCCTTTGGGGTCAAAAGAAGTATGACCTTTAGCAAATCACTTTAATTCTCATTTTCTACATACTTTTCTATTTCTTAAGTTTCCCCTGCCTCCTTCCTCTAAGGTTGCTGAGAATAAAGTGTTAAAATATAAATAAAGAACAGGGTCAACAAAAAAATTTTGGGTGGGGGGGCATTGGAGATGTTCTATATCTTGACGTGGAGGTTGTGGCAGTTTCATGGGTTTGACATTTGCTAAAATTCAATGTGTGGTTTAAACAAGTGTAGTTTATCATACATACATTATATCTTGGTAAGATAGATTTTTAAAAAACATACTGTTGAGACACATGGTGGATGTTGAGTAATTGTTGGTCTGTTCCTCCTCCCCATTCCCTTTATATGGTCATTTGAGGAAAAAAAACTCTAGGCATTATTCCCAATATGAATACTGTTCCCAATATGAAAAAACCCTAAAAACTTTTTGTCTTGTTATTAATATTAAACATAAATTGCCTTCCCTAAATTGCTAAAAGTCAGAGTTCACTAAAAACTTCCAGATAAGAATGACGTTACTTACCTCTCTCCTTTCCTCTAAACCAGATCCCAATATCTTTAACTTTTCCCATAAATTTGACTTTTCTATCCTTATATTCAATAAGAACTTAAATCTTAAATTTATATTCTATACTTCTTATTTCAGTTAAAGAGCAAACAAGTAATTCACACAGGTTATAAAATATCTTGAGGTTGTAGGGAGTTACTCCACAAAATCTATGGGCCTCAGTGATAGTTCTTTGTTCCTAGCTCATGCACTAAAAAAGTTTTTGTTTTTTTTTTTAATACCCTTAAACACTAGTCAATTAAGGGGCTGGGGATGTGGCTCAAGCAGTAACACACTCGCCTGGCATGCACGGGGCGCTGGGTTCGATCCTCAGCACCACATAAAAATAAAATAAAGATGTTGTGTCCACTGAAAAACTGAAAAATAAATATTAAAAAATTCTCTCTTTCTTCTCTCTCTCTCAAAAAAAATACTAGTCAATTAAACTCACAGGAAGTACTACACAAATTCTATTTTGAATCATTTTACTGATTTTCTGCTATGTCTGTACTCCCAAAATAATATATTATTTTAAAACAATAGTGGTTAAGATTTGGTACCAACATTAGAAAAACTTAACTTTTCACTTTCTTTTTAATATACCAAATATAAGTTTTAGTGCCAACTCAGTCAGTCTAAATTCAAAACAATGTGTCTTATATTGGGTATTTTAATTAATAAATTCTCTAGTTGTTTTGTTATTAATATTAAACATAAACTGCCTTCCCTAAATTGCTAAAACTCAGAGTTCATTAAAATGGATTATTTTCAATACTCTATATGGCTAGAAACTACCAATGCCTATTTTAAAAATAATAAAAACACAAAGAATATTTCTCATATTTTCTTACATTTACATATATATATGTAAATGTGTGTATATATATATGTGTATATATATATATATATATATTTCTTACACTTTTTGTTTACTTTTTCTCACTTCTCAAATAAGTTTGTAGGAAATAATATTACCCTCTCCCCCAGTCCATTTCACTCACCTACAAAATGGGCTGGGAATAGTAGGTATCACATAACAAATCCCCCCATTCAGGCAAAATGACCTGTAACTGGGACCACAGGGCTCCTCGTGATCTAAAACACACATGCATATGGAACAGAGAAAAGCATATTAAAATACTTCTGATGAAATTAGAAACAGGAATAACCAGTCTTAGAATGAAGCAGCAATACTAAAAATTAGAATGAGGAATTTTTCCTCAAAATGAAAGAATCTTATTTCTTATTTCATAGTCACTTTGAAAGAAAAATCTATCACTTTGAAAGAAAAATGAATCCATCTTACAGATATGGTTGTTAATTATAATGAATTTAGAAGCTACATAACAGAAATAATAAATCTCTGCATTAGTTAGATTAAAAGGCAGTGATTAGGATCATAGAATAAATAGGTCCTTCTCATTTAGCACCAAGATTTTACAGTATTACTTAGAGCTTTCCTGTCCTAAGTTTGCATTTAAATTCTTCTTTTTCTTTTGATGTTTCAAATATTTAAAATCTGAAGTTGTGATAGGAAAAAAAATTTAGATAATTGAAATAAATTTGCTTCCAAATTTATTTTAAAATATTCCTCTTCTATGACAACCAAAGTCAAACATGAAAAATAAAATATAATCTCATAAGGTTTTTATTTGCAAGGGAACTTTAGGTAAAAGCTAATAACTGACAAGACTAAAATCTTAAAGTAAAACTAAAAATCTAAGTTTGTGCTTAACATATAGCCAAAACTTTCAGAATAATAAGAAAATAACCCTCCACTCCTCTTGCTTCCTTTCTCTCCCTTCTCTTTCTCCATGTCACTTCCTTCTTTCTTTCCTTTTTCTTTTCCTCACTCTTTATCTTTGATCTTTCCTTTATCTTTCTTCCTCTCTCTGCCTTCCCTCTCTTGTTGGTATTTCTCTTTCCTTCTAGACTCAGCCTCATACCCACCCCCACCCCCACCATCTCTTTACAAAAAGTTTCTTTTTTAACCACAGCCAGTATAGAAAAAATCAGAAGTAACCATAGTCAAATTTATTGGGTCATTATACTACTATTTGTGATTAGGAAATTGCTGAAAAATTTATCTTTTGGCTTTAAAAGGAGAATGATACTGATTTTAAAATTTTACCTTGGTAGTTCCTGATTGTCTAAAAATTACTTAGAATCATCTAATGTGAAGCAGACAATGACAATTCTCTCATTTAGCATTTAGTTTGGCATTTAAAGATAGTTTACTAGTTAAAAACAAACTTTCTCTAACATGGTTGCCACTAAGATATTGATACCTGTTAAGATATAATTGTTGGGGCTGGGACTGTAGCTCAGTGATAGAGCACCTATCTAGCATGTATGAGGCACTGAGTTCAATCCTCAGCACCTCATAAAGATAAATAAATAAAATAAAGGTATGGTGTCCATCTACACCATACACACACACACACACACACACACACACACACATATGAATGATAACTACTATGATCCAGATGTCTTCACAATCAGAATTTGAAAGTTTGAAACTTTCTTTTTACTTCAGAATTGAGAAAAACCTATTTCAGCATATTATAACCATAAAAGTACAAAAATGTAAAGACATAAATAGAACTACAAAGAACTGAAGAAAAAGAAAGTAAGCCAGCTAAAACTAATACTTTAAGGTTTTTTCTTTTTTACACAATGCATGCTTCTTTAAAATTAAACAACTTTTAATAATCTATACAATTTTTCAGGAATAATTTGGTTGACAAAAATCCCAGTTAAAACTACATTACATCAGAATCATGGAAATCATCCCATATGATTTTCTATTAACTTTATCACAGCTGAAAGTAATGTCCTTTTTAACTAATTATATCCAGACATATATTTACTGAAATAATATCACATATTATATCAATAAAAAAAACCTCATCTAACCTGAATCACTATCTCTGAATCTATTTTCATTCTTTGCTCTGGTTTCAAATTTACTTATTATTTGGGAAGTTGATATTAGATATAGAGAAAGCTAGAATTGGTCAGTTTGTAAAGAACAATAAAACACATAAACCCAAAATAAAAGTTTTATGTTATATAGGAAAGTACTTCAAAACTAAAATATTTCATATTTTTGGGAGGATTTTAGATAAGGAACAATATAATCTTGTGTTAATGTACATCTGTTGTTCTATTTCAAAATAACACACATTGACAAAAGTATAAACAGAAGAAATTACCTGTTGGCATCTTAATTTTTAAATAGTTTCATCCTTGGTCAGAAGATTAGGGTTGAAAAACAGCACCTAAAATAGTTTAAAATTAATACTTTAAGAAAAAATATTCTTTTGAGGGAGTTACATCAAATATTCTAATAGTGATACTCTTTAAATGTTGAAAGTAAGACATTTATTTGTGAGTGACAAAATTAGTTAGATATCTATGTTTTGAATATATCAATTAAAAAATCTGTGCAGATAAAACCAAAGGATCAACATTATAAAGTATAAGTGCACTAAATACAAATAATTTCCTAAAATAATATAATTTAATCTTAAAACTTTTTGTTCTATTGCTGGTTTTTAATAAACATTTTAATGTAGTAATGTACTATATGAGAATATGAAACATATATGGTAGTAATGAAACTGAATGACCTGAACTTCTTGCTTTTTCATAAAGCCTATTTGTTAATAATCTAACTTTTAAGTAGAATCAGTAGCTTCCAATTTTTCAATTTATTGAAAATGGTCAAACAGGGAATATAAAAATCTCCAACAGCATTAAAAATTTTAAAATTTCTTTAGAACCATTAAAAGCACTTTTGAGTTTACCATACCTTGCACATTACATTTATCAATCTACACATGCCTTTCTTTAAAAAATGTTGGGCATCTGGTAAAGCCAAGCAGCTAAAGAGGCATGCTTATGTTTGAAGTTTTCTGCTATAACAGAAACAAGGAATTAAGATAAATTTGAAGAGATGAAGCATTTATACTTACATAATGATTACAATTTCTTAATTCTTTTTTATAAAATCTATTTACTTCTGCCTTAAGCATAAAGATTTTGTAACAGAAATCTTAATCTACAACTTCCTTTTACACAGGTGTAACTCCAAGGTCTTCTCCCAAACCCAATCACTCCCTTTCTTTCTTTTTTACACAAGCAGCGAGAAAGAGAGGGGGTAGGGGGTAGAAAGAGGGAGAGAGAAAGAGTGTATATACACATTAAAACTATTTAATTTGAAATTCTCATTTGGAGTTTCTTTTTTCCAAAGAAACAGGGCTTACCTCAATAAAAACTTATATTCATTAAAAAATAAATTTAGACATGCAGTTTTGCAAAAGTTTTTGAATACTGTAGACTATAGCAGCTGTGACTTACATTTTATAACATGTCAAAAAAATGATTTATATGGCTGCAGTGTGAACCAGAGCGAGGCAGATAGACCAAGGTGTACCCAGAGGTCAGGCACCACTAAGAAAGCTACCCTTCAGTCTACATGCTCAGAGTCACAAATGGGGCAGAATTTTACTTAGAAAAGGAGTTGTACTAAGCTGTACTTCCAAGTCACTGTTCGTGTTTTAAAGTTATGAATTAAATCACATTATTTAGATTCCTTACTTACCTTTGCATGTCTGGATAATTCAAGAGTACTATCTAAGTTTGTGAAGAAAAGGAATTTTTATGTGGAGCTAATGGACAATTGTTCCACAAGGCTTTTTTTTAAAAAAAATAGTTTCTTTATATACCACATAAAATTTATTTATGATGACTTGAAGAATTTATAGAACTGAAAGATGATAATAGCTCTAATAGAACTTATAACCCCATGTCTGATTTAAAATATAATTATTGAACTTACCTACTACTGATAACAATATAATGACTTTAAAACTATAGCAAAGCTATTATATATCCCTTAAGGAAAGTTAAATTTTAAAAATATTTTAAAATATTGACTAAAACTATAATTTTGTTTAAATGAAGTACAGGGTTCTTAGATATAGCTATCTAAATTATGTCAAGTATTTAGATGGTTATCTTTTCTAAAGCCACAATTCAGACAATATCACTACTTGACTGATGTAAAACACAAAAACTAATATATTTGTTCTTTTAAAAAGTATTAAAATAAACTCATAATTACATACTCTGAAAACATTTCTTTTCATTGCCATATATTATCTCCCACATTCAATGGCAAATTTTATATAGCTATAATCATTATATATGTATATATACACACATACTTAAGTCATTTTAGCTTATGGTGTAAGAATTCCAAAATGATATTTTTATTTTGTTTTGGTTTTTTTCTAATATTAGATTGAACTCAGGGGCCTAATTACTGAGGCACATCCCCAGCCTTATTTTTTTTTTTTTTAAAAAGGGTCTCACTAAGTTGCTCAGGGCCTTGCTTAGTTGCTCAGGCTGGCCTTGAATTTGCCATCTTCCTGCCTTAGACTTCCAAGTCACGGGGATTACAGGCATACACCACCATGTCCAGCAAAATGCTGTTTTGTTTTGTTTATGAAAAATCAGTATCCTTTGTTATTTTACTTGAACCATGAAACTATTATGTTGTCTACTAACACAGAAATGACTATTAAATTGCACTTGAGAAATAATCTGTGAATCTGTGACTTTATCCATGACATTTGAAGATGTACTTATTAAGAGATATAGCATGACAGTTTTATACTGAGTTATTTTTGACACAATGCATATAAACAGCCTTTGGAGCCAAGTGACTCCAAAGTAGAAAATATAATGACTTTAAAGAGCAACATTTAACTCTAAATGCAATGTATTTAAAAATAATTTCTCTGTTAACCTGTCAACAAACAGCACTAGGTGGCCCATTGCCCTTAAACAAATGACAGTCTCTTGCTAGATTGGAGAATAACAGATACAAAAAAAGTAACTGCAAAAATGTTTTAGACTGACTCCTTGTTAAGGTTTGGATCTTAACTGTTTGCCCAAGGCTCATGTGCTGAAGGCATGGTCTACAGCTGATGGTGCCATTGAGAGGTGGTAGAACCTTTGCGATGTAGGGCCTATTGAAGGAAGTTAGGTCATGAATGAATGCCTTTGAAGGGGATGTGGGTGGGACTCCATCCCATTCTCTTTCTCTTTGCTCTCCAGCTACCACGAAATGGCAGTTTTGCTCCACTATGTGCTCCCTGCCATTATGTTCTGCCTTTCCACAGGCCCAAAAGTAATGGAGCCACCAACCATGGACTGAAACCATGAGCCACAATAAGCCTTTCCTCTTTTAATTTGATTTTCTCAGGTATTTTTCACCAACACAGAAAGCTAACTCACACAGAAATTCATATATACCTTATTTTTACTTAGAATAAGGAAAATTTTATATGATTCAATGTAATCTTATCACAAACATATGTTTACCATGACATTAACACACACACACACACACACACACACACACACACACACACACAGTTTAACTGTTAAGGAAAATCAGTAAAAGATTCCAAGATGTACAATTATTTGTGTTTAACCTTAAAGAAACGAGTGAGAGTTTGTAAACAGAGATGGATAAGCATTCCAGATAGAGGAAACAGTTCCAAGGTAGTTAGATAAAAGAAGAAAAAAGTTCCAAGGTAGTCAGATAATTATAGATAGATCATGGGCCAAGATATGTATAAGGTATGTGTATATGGAGAGTACACAGGTTTATAAGAAAGTGGGATAGTGGGGATAAAAGTGGCAAGAATAGGTAGTATGTATGAGGCAAACAGAGTCCATATCTGCAGGCATTGAGAAGCCTTTGAAAGGTTCTTAGCAAAGGAGTGACATGGTTGTATCTACATTTTATGAAATTCATTTTGATGGAAGTATGGAAAACAGATTGGAACCTGTAGAGGAAATGGTATCAGAGAAAGCAGTTTAGAAGCTATTTTAATCATCAAGAATAGTGAACAAACAAAGCAATAGGAATTAAGATAACGGAGAAGGGTAATTTAAAAAATACTAAGGTGTACAACCACAAAATAGATGAGTATGGTAAGAAATAAAGAAAACTCAAAGATGATTTTCAAGTATTGTTGAAATTAAACAAGTAAAGGAATAGCTATTATAAAAAATTTTAAATATTTATTTTTTAGTCAGACACAATATCTTTATTTATTTATTTTTATGTGGTGCTGAGGATCGAACCCAGGGCCTCGCATGTGCTAGGTGAGCGTTCTACCGCTGAGCCACAACCCAGCCCCTAGAAAAATTAATATTAAAAACCATAAGATACAATTTCATACCCACAAGAATGATTAAACAAAAATGATAGACAATAACACGTTCTGACAAGAACATGGAGGAACCAGTGCACTCATACATTGCTGGTGGGACTACTATTTAGGAAAATAGTTTGAGAATTCCTTAAAAAGTTAAACATAAGTTTATCATATAAATGCTTCCAAGAGAAATGCAAATGTATATCCCACAAAGACCTGTATATAGATGTTTAGAACAGCTGTATTCATAAAGGTCCTAAACTGGAAATCATCTAAATGTCTGTAACTGATGAATGAATAACTAAAATGTTCCATGGCCAGTCAATGGAATACTACTTAGCAATAATAAGGAATTTTGTATTAGTGCATGTTAAAACATGAATTAATATTTAAAAAAGCTAAGTGAAAGAAGCCATTTCTATTTATATGAAATGTCTAGGAAAATCAAATCTATATGGCTAGAGGGTAGATTGATGGTTGACTTGGGCTGGAAATTTAAAGTAAATGCAAATAATCATATATTTGATATATTTTAAATCATTTCTATATGGGAAAAGTGGTGCCTACCTGTAATCCAGCAACTCTGGAGTCTAAAGCAGGAGGATCACAAGTTTGAAGCCTAGTGAGACCCTGTCTCAAAATAAAAAATAAAAGGGCTGGAGATGTGGCTTAGTGGTAGACATTCCCTAATACAATGTAAATGCTATATAATAGTTATAATACTACATTGTTTAGGAAACAATAACAAGAAAAAGACATGTCCAGGTTCAGTATAGATGCAACAATGTTTTAAACTATTTTAGATCCCCAGTTGGTTAAGTCCACCAATGTACCATGTCTTAATACAGGCCAGATCAGTTCACAGACTGATTCTTTATCATGTGAAACAATCAATTGTGCCATTAGCCTTCCTTCTATCTTTCTCCTCCCACTCCCTTCTTCGTTAGCTATATCTTGACTCTTATATCATGAATATTAACATTAAATATAAATTTAACATTTACATTTTGGTCCATAACCCTAATAAAGTCTTTCGTACCTTG